TATGGAAAACTTATATCAACGGGCATTGTTCTAAGCCTGGAAATAGAAGAGCGAACAAAGCATGACAAAAATCCCCACCTACATGGAGCATATGCTGGTGAATGGTGAAATTTTAGAACCAACAGCTACCTGGAGCCTTATTTTGCTCATCTATAACCTGTTGTCTCTCTGTACATAGTTTACACTGGTACAGAGATAGCCACAAAATGAAAGAAGAACTTAATAGATACACAGATAACATAAATCTTGGGAAAATAATGATATGAGTACCTTAGTGAACTTTCAAACAATCCAGAGAAAATAGGCAGAAAGGTGGTTGGAATAAATAAATTAAAAAAAAAGTAAATTAAACTGCAACTGGAGTATTAAGCAAAATTAAAGCTCAAAAACATAAAAGTCAAATTCCTTTTAAAATTGATTTTAAAAAAATCCAGGGTTGTAGCCCAGAACATGTGTGAAATCCTTAACAAAATTCAGATCCCCAGTTCTACCTCAGATCTCAATTATAATCCACATGGAATCTAAACAAGCTGTTTAAAAAGTCCCAGAAGGGCTAAGATTATGATGCTCATTTTACTTGTTTTTAGTATTTACTTATTATTCCAGAGGGAAGGAGGGTGAGAAGAAGAGAAAGAGAGAGACTGCGTTTTCATAAAGTCACTCCCCAAATGCCTGTGATGGTTGGGGTTAGGCCCCACGAAAGCTGGAGGCAAGAGGATAAGCCAGGACTCCTAGGGCAGCAGCGACTCAGTCACTTGAGCTCTCACCAGGGGTCTGCCTTAGAAGAAAGCTGGAGTCTGAACCTGGAAGCAGGGATCAAACTCAGGCACTCCAAGGTCACTATGCCAAATGTCCCAATGCTCATCTTATTTATTTACAATATCTATTTATCTTCATCTACTTGAAAAGCAGAGTGACATAAAGGGACGGAATATGATCTATCCACAACAGCCAGGGCTGACTCAGGGTGAAGCTAAGAGCCTAGAACTCCATCTAGGTATCCCACTTGAGTGGCAGAGGCTGACACACTTGAACTCTTTTCTACTGCCTCCCAGAAAGCTTTAGCATGAAGCTTGATCAGAAGCGTTGTAACTGGTATACAAATTGGCATTGTTGGATCCTGAAGCATCCTTTTAACTAGCTGCATCAAAATAGTGACCCACTTATGTTCATTTAAAAGCCATTGCCTGGAGGGTAGGTATTGCCAGATGGCAAATTGAGGAACTTGGCAACACCTCATAACCCGCAGAACTATAAAACTGGACAATGTTGTTAAAAATCATTTCAGTTTTCTGGTAATCAGCCAAGAACTTGAGAAATGTTTAGAAAAACTGCTACATATGGGTTTAAAACATGGGGGACCATGGTGTTCTTAGCTGGTGCTACCTCTCTGCATTTCTCCATCAACATCTACCACAGTGGAAAGCAGCAACTTCTCTATCCAAGGGACCTGATTGGATTTTGAGGTGCAGAGTGGAAATGTCCCACTCGCATACCCTTCCAGAAACATCAGTGTCTTTGGTAGCAAACAAATGCTAATGACAAATCTCATAGCTAGCCTCAGAGTGCAGTCCTCATTGAGTTCCAGAGCAAGGCAATAGGCAGAAGTGAACAGGGACACCTTGGAAATGATAGAGCCATGGAGGGCCTTGGTAAGCTTCCACGTTTCTGGCTGACCTGGAAGACCTAATACAGTGTGACAGAAACAAAGGAAAGCAGAGACTTGAAATTCCACAACTGTGACTGCACTCCCAAACCCACAAGCAGAGCACAACAGCACTGATGGAAGCCTTACTGGATTCAATTTGTGAGCACCACCTCTGTCCACACTGACTCCCTGTGAGCAACAGTGACACAGGTTGATCCCAGAAGACAAAGCTAAGCTACTGTGTCAGCACATAATTGAAAACATAAGACTAAAACAAACAAAGAAGTTGCTGTATAGTTCTGAACAGCAGAAGATAGCAGAATAAATTTCTCTGCGGTCTTCTCCCAATGTATTCGACCATGATGCGTATTTATTTTCTTCTGGACCAGACACTATGTTTAACGCCTGGATACAGTGGAGAATGTATGGATAAGGTTAGGATTAAAGAGTTTATATTCTAAAGCTAGTGTGGCTTTGCAATGCCTCAGGATTTGGTCAGATCACTCTGCTTTTGCACATAGTCCATTCATTTTTTTTCAGGAACTGATTGGGCCAAAGCTTTTCTATTTGACAGGTAGAGTTATAGACAGTGAGAGGGAGAGACTGAGAGAAAGGTCTTCCTTCCATTGGTTCACTCCCCAAATGGCTGCTACGGCTGGAGCTGAGCCTATCCAAAGCCAGGAGCCAGGTGCCTCTTCCTGGTCTCCCATGCGGGTGCAGGGCCCAAGCACTTGGGCCATCCTCCACTGCCCTCCCGGGCCACAGCAGAGAGCTGGACTGGAAGAGGAGCAGCCAGGACCAGAACCCGGTGCCCATAAGGGATGCCGGCGCCACAGGCTAAGGATTAACCAAGTGAGCCACGGCGCCAGCCCCCATACCAACTTATTTTAAGTGATAGCATTTTGTTTCATTTGATGCAAAGAAAATAATATTAAAATATAACTAGGAGACTAATGTTCTAATAGAGGCTCTACTATTTTCTGAGTACTCTCTGGCAAAACACTCTGCAGCTCAGCTTCATTATTTAAAAGGTGAAAATTTTAGAGCAACTTCTTTAGTTCAAATTCTATGAAAATTTTAAGGACATTAATATAAAAAATTGTATGAAACCTATCTAGGCTTACCTAATTGAATAAAATCCTTCCATAATTAGTGCAGAGTTTGTAAACATATATACTTTTATGAAGGGCCATTTAAAGATTTTCTTAAATTGGCAAAATATTATATTTGGAATCTTATAAAAGTGTTGGCAGCACATTTTCTCATTGGAGTTAAACTTTGTGTGTGTGTATATATTCATACACATAACACTACATAAATTATAATTCGCTAGATTTTATTGTACCTGGAAGAGCAGAATGGCTATATTATGACCTTATATTAATTTAAAAAATCTTAGATTTACAGTGTGACTTACCTGTTTGAATTCATTTAATCATCAAGATGTTTCTAAGCAGTGAAAACTGCTATCAAGTCTGTCTTACAGATGAGAAAATTGAGGCATCAAGATGCTGACTAGCTTACTTAAGCACTGGGATCCAGTAAGAGATGAATTTACAATCCTAATCTCTTATCTACTCTGGTATGTTGCTGCAGCTGATTAACCTATAATCTGAGGTAACACAGAGCACCCAGAGAAGGGAAAGAAGGCAGTTATTAAAGAACAGTACATGTCTTATTTAAAAAGAAAACACATGTACATGTATACACACATACAGACAAACCCTTATACTCTCATGTAACCCTCACATGTACATAAAACTAAAGTTTAACTTTAAAGATCTAAAATTTCAGCAGCAAAACAGCAGGATTATTACCAGAGAAGTGGTGATATAGAAGACGGGAACATTTGTGGTTTTGAATGATATCTGGTACCTTCATTTAGTTAACAATCCAAAAACAAACCCATATAAATGTTATGCCATGAGCAGTTGTGTTGCATACAAAGCATAGATTCTGAACAACACTATGCAATACCAAAGTTCATGGTTAAATAGTACATCACTATAACAGATGCATACTTTATTTACTTGTCTGAAAGATTCTTCCAAATTTAAGGGTCCACTCTTCCTTCTACCTGAAGTAACCGGCTAACTAACCTTCCAGACAACTTGCTAGCTCAGTCACATGAGTTCTATGGTGCACCTGGCATCTCATGGCACAGGCTCCTGCTCTCTTCATCAGACACCTGTGTGCCATCCACAGTGACATTTGTATTATTTTCTCTGTATCTGAAGAATTTCTTTCTCAGACTCTGAATTTTTCACATTAGTGCTGAGATATTACTTTTGAAAGAATTTTTTATACCAACCAAATGTGTTTTATATGGCTGAGATGTTCATGTCAGGCCTGTAAGACATCCTCACACATTTATCAAAAAGTTATGATAGAACTCACTGAACAATGAAAATGCCAAGAGACATGAAATGGAGTAAAATAGAGGACTGCAGAAATCTCTCATTAGTGGAAAAACATACAGGCATAGCATGAGCGCAGGCAAGCATCAACGTCTCCATTGGAAGACTGCAGCAGTTAAAAGAAAATTGGGAACAAATGGTGTGCCAGGTAAGAAGCAGCCCTCTCTAGTTCACCACTAGACATTCCCGTCTGGAACCTGGGAACCTATCCCACGCTTCCTGGTGTAATTCTGAGCTAGCCTTTGTAGCAAAAAGACAGTTTAATTTAACTTTTTAATTAACATGTGCCCTTGCTGATGGACATTGTGAATGAGGCACATTTTCCTTCCCATTATAGCTTGGATTTTAGATTTAATTACTACAGAAATGAATCAAGAAACATGACTTGGGGCATAGCATTTTAAATGTCAGCAGAGTAACGATTTTAATACCTTATTTTAAAGTACCAGTGTTATCCCATCTTTATGATGAGTGATGTGAAAATAATTTTGGGAAGGAGGTTGCTGGCTGCTGACCCAGAGACCCTGTAAGCCATGGGAAGCCCACCTATTAGTGATAATTAGAAGGGCTTCGTTTGTGTCATGACTTAGTTCTATATTGTGCATACTTATCCCTACTTATTTGTCAAATGAATATGCTCTTCAGGCATGACATATGAAGTGTTCAGAGCCTTTGAACTTCAGCTAATGATAAACACTCTCCATGCACAGGATCAAGTGTGTTCACGTCACATTTTCTTTTATGTCCTATAATGGGTGGGTTGGGGGGACACTTAAAACTATTTGCTCCCTCGTGTCATCCATTATAAGCTATAGAGTTATAATGGAGTTGCTAAAGGTTCACTCCTCTAGTAAAATATGAAATTTGGGGAAAAAAAGGAAAAAACTCAAAAAGTGACCTTAAATTAAGAGCAAGCTTGAGGGCAGATGGGATACCTTCTCATACAGTCCAGGGCCCGGATAAAGAAGTCCTTGTGTAACTGGTGCTCATCCCTCAGGATCGTGCACTGTTCCAGGGTCACTGACATCGACGTCCTGTCTTTGGCACTTTTACAACAGGTGAAACGAATACCGTTTAGCTTGCGACAAATCTGTAACATACACACCAAGAAGTTTATTGTTCATGTGCAGATTACCATCAAGTGCTGACCCCCTCTAAACACACCAAATAGCTGTATGACTTAAAGTGAACTCATGGAAGTCAATTGGCTCAACCTGCTCTACGAAATGCAAAGGCATCATTTATGAATTTGTTTCGTTGATTTTCATATATGAGGTGTGGAACTGTTGAGGCCATATGAGACGTGGAAGAGCCAGCAGAGGATGCAATGGCACTGAGAGGATGCTCGATTTGCAGTGGATGCTGATGATAATCAAAGCTCAGGAGTAACACTTTCATTTTGAAGGGAGAAAATCCTACATCCCCTGGATAGGACACTTGATTTGAATCCTAACTAGTTATATCCTCTTGTTTTATATCTAATGAATCTTTGCTCATTTTGGTTTCAGGTATAAGAATATATGTATGCATATATATATATATTCTTCTATATATATATATATAGAGAGAGAGAGAGGTATATACACATATATATAATCTTTGAGAGTCAAGGAGAGAAAGAGAGAACATGAACTCCTATTACTGGTTCACTCTCCAAATGCTCATGAGAGCTGTGATAAGTCTGGACCCCAAATCAGGAACCCAGAACCCAATCCAAGTATTCCATGTGGGTGGCAGAGTCAGAACTATTTGAGCCATCCCCTGCTGCCTTCCAGGCTGTGCATCAGCCGGAAGCTGGAATTGGAAGCAGAGCTGGGGCTTTTTGTTTCATATATAAGCTTATTTTTTACAATTTTAAAATGTAACAATTTTAACATTTTATCATATTCACTTCATATATAGACATTATACACACACATACCATTTTTCTTATAAACATGGATATTAATATCCCAAAGTGAGGGATTCATGACAATGAGCATGATATCGGGAAGGAAGGGCACATTTCATGTACATGGCATGATTCACTGAAGCAACATTTATAACTATAAGCCAAATCATATGCCATCTGCACAATTTTTATACTCAAGCACCCTGATATGGGATGTGGGCATCTTCACCAGTTGCTTATCCACCAGGCCAAACCCATGTCCCTAAAGTTATGAGATTTTAAACATGCACATGGCACCTCACTATAGATATGAACCATTCATCAATACCAACACAGAGAATGTAAAAAATAATCACCAAGATAGATAAGGAGACTGAGATTTAGGTAGGTCAAGTACCTTTCATACCAGAGCAGAACTAGGATGCAAATACATATCTAGCCGAGTCTAATGAGCAATTCTTTTTAACTTTTGTGATGTTCTATTTCTATCTATAAATCTTTTTGCTACTCTAATTAAAGGGATTACAATCTCTGAGCAGCAATGCTCTCCTCTCTCAATACTTTACGGTTAATAGATGAATCACTCCAATCCTTTCTCTTCTATACTACAGTAGAGTTTTGCTATGAGATATCAGTAATCAACCTCAGCATCAATAATGCATTTAAAATAAATCTAATATGCATTCAACATAATTCTACTGTGATAAAATAAAGTCCTACTTTGTCATCAAGAAGTCTTTAAAAGTTCCCTGCATTAAAGAGAATATATAATAACACAGCTTATGAAGAATTTTTACCCTATTTTAACTGTGATTTTGATACTTAAACTGGGATTTACTCATCTTTATTTTATTTAGAACTTCTGTGATTTCTATTTCCAATATAAGTGATGAGAGAAATGTCAGAGCATGATTTGAAATGCAATATTTTTTCATCTAAAAACTGTAATTCTTACAAATAATTCATATTCCAGTTTTTTAAAAATCTTGACTATATACATTGTATTAATGTAGATATTAATGACTTTATGATTTTTTAAAAAAATTAATATTCTTAACAACATATTGTTTATTATATATATCAATACCACTTAGGATATTTAGTGTTCTAAATTTAAAGTCAAGTAGAGATGGAGGCAATTCCATTATTGCAGATGCTGGGTTGTGATTTCTGATTTCTAAAACTTCTGAACTGTATGAGCTTGATTTAATACAATCTATTAATATTGGTTTTTTAAATGCTCAACTTTATTATTTAAATTCAATGAACATAAAACCAAATAGCTTTATATTTTTTATTTAAATTTTAAAACATTTAGAAAATCACTGTTTAATTAAATAGATTTAAAGAAGGCAGGGAGATGAAACAGAGAAATGAAAGTTTTGGGACTTCCAAAAGCAATTTCTGTATTTTTTACTTTAAGGTCTCCTTTTTTTCAAGGTTTTGTTTATTTGAGAGCCAGAGTTACAGACAGTGATAGGGAGAGACTGAGAGAAAGGTCTTCCATCTGCTAGTTCACTCCCCAAATGGCTGCAACGGCCAGAGCTGGGCTGATCTGAAGCCAGGAGCCAGCAGGCTCTTCCGGGACTGCACAGGGGCACAGTGTCCCAAGCACTTGGGTCATCTTCTATTGCTTTCCTAGGCATAGCAGAGAGCCAGATTGGAAGAGGAGCAGCCAGGGCTAGAACAGGCACCCATATGGGATGCCAATGATTCAGGTGGAGGATTAAACTACTGTGCCACAGCCCAATCCCTTAAGGTCTATTTTGTACCAACAGAATTTGAAACCAAGCTATTAGCATACTGTGATACTATTATTCATTTAGTCAATGGTATGTTATAAGCTGTATTTGGTTAAGTGCATGCATTTCACTAAGTATATATTAGAAATGCATAGGATTTTTGAGAAAACTTTTATATATTTAGATGGAAAAACTGCAGCAATGAAAAGATTGTATGCATTGTGATTGCACGTGTATATATCCTTAATTTATCTATTTACGTATCTTCCAAATAGGTATATTATAATGTTTCTATGATTCTGAGATGTCAGATGGTCTTGGAAAATGCTCAAGGTACCTTTATACTATTAGCAAAAGAGAAAAATATAACATGATCTATCACTGCAGAAACAATGAGAATTAACAATCACCTTAGTCTTTAAGGATACAAAGAGCAGTCACAATGGAGGAAAGAACTATTAAACACAACGCTCATGTAATGCAGTATGGCCCTAAATGGGGCAAGTGTGAATGAATTGCCTTAAAGCCATATTTCCTATCGTTCCTTTGATGTTCTTCCCTAGGATTCCAAAACTGCATGAAAAGAAATTAATTAAAGCAGCATTCCTCTACCTTCGTCTCGGGAAATTATTTTATATATCTCATAGCAAATTATCCAATCATCTTTTCCAGAAGAAGACAAATAATATGGGATTATGATTAAGTATTGGCAATACGGAAAAAGCTGTTAGCTGTTTTAAATACAATTGATAGAGAATGAATAGAGTGCATTAGAAGCTATGTTAACTTGAACTCAAATTATAAGAGTTACACTGTAGAAACTACAAATATGGCATTCATCACAAAGATTTCCATTGTGTGCCTTGCCTGATGAAAGATTTTTCTAATAAAAAGATTTTGGGGTGTGAATATTTCATAAAACTCATAAATTTCATATGAGCTTTGACTCAATGGTTGCCATATAGGAGCTCAAAAAATATAGGCATGAATCTCTCACTAACTCTTACAGAAGCCTGGGATGGAAAAGGAGACAGATCTTCCACCCTTAGGGTGCCAATAAATGAGAAAGAACCTTACAAAATATACCTCATTACCCCCAAGAACCGTCAGTAATAAATTCTATGCCAATATCTAAATTAACCAACACATTTACAAGCTCATTAACTGAACGATATGTCCAGGAGGCTTACTGAAGCTGTGAGCCAGAGATCTGATAGCTACATTCATTGAAACTACATGTCTCTGGAGCGGCAGTTCAAAATTCTGGTTAACATGGGCAACTGAGATTGCAACTGAAACCCTAGGAAAATACAAAGCCCTCATTTTAATTCAAAGTGACAAATACATCCTGGGCTTATAAGAACAGTCAATGAGTAGGATTCTTTCTTGTTAGGTACATCTCACTTCAAGTTATGTTCGGGTCTATCAATGCAACATTCAACAAGAATGAAAATGCATAATGATCTGAATAGCAAAAGACAACATCAGGTAACCTAAAGCCCAGAGATTGCACCCGGTATAGCAGAAAATCTTTGATGCTTGCTGGTCATAATGTGATAGGGAACAAGATTTGCCATGGAAATGCTTACCGTTGCAGCCAACCACATGATTTCCACATTCTTTCTTTTTTTGGCTTGTATATTTTGATGAAGATTATCTAGTAATCCTTTAACATCATGCTGTTCTTGAAATTGTGAAATGTCTGAAGGAATACAAAAGGAAAGAAGGAAAAAAAGAAAGGTTTAATATTAAGCTCTCCATGAAGTTTTCTTTAATATATTTGAAAACGGAACTTTAAAAACAGAAAATGTCATTTGGAGCAGAGAGCACCTGAGAATAATCATGCTTTTTAATCCCTTCAGCTTTATTCTTTACTTGGAAAAATGCTTCAGTTTCACCCATTCTCTAACCTTTGTGACCATGGTAATATACATAGTAATACAATATTATTTTAATTAGAAGGAAATTATTTTTGATGAAAAGGATAGCAATTGTCTTAATCAAGACATAAGCCACAGATGCTATGAAATACAACCTTTGTCATACAGCGAAATTTCTATACAGCAAAGCTCCTCAGCTTCTGCAGAGAGACAGAGAAGTCTTCCATTCATTGGTTCACACCTAGATGGCCGCAACGGCTAGAGCTACACTGATCTGAAACCAGGAGCCAGGAGCTTCTTCCATGTTTCTCATGTGGGTGCAGTGGCCCAAGGACCTGGACCATCTTTCACTGTTTTCTCAGGCAATAGCAGAGAGCTAGAGGGGAAGAGGAGCAGCCAGGACTCGAACCAGAGCCCATATGGGATGCCCAGGCACTGCAGGCAATGGCTTCACCCAATTTGACACAGCACTGGCCCCAGAAACAGGTCATTTTTATGTTCTTTAAGTTGTCAGGCCAATACTTTTATTTCTATAATGATCAAACTTGCTTTATTCAGAGCACATCTCCTTAAAACCCAACACTGGGGTTGCTGCCAATATTTTCAACCTAATAAAAATCCTGCAACCACAGAAATTCAGGTCTGGGCCAGGGAAGGAGAATCATTAGTCATGACTAACTCATTAATAGGTGAAGGTTCAACATATAATTATACAATTTGACGTATCCACTGAAAAATATGGCATACACACAGAGCATGAATGGTTTTAGGTTGAGAATCCCTTTCCTCAAATACAAATACAAGCAATAGGTCTTGTTTTATTTCTCACTCCTAAAATTTTTTTTTAAGATTTACTTTTGTATTTGAAAGACAGAGTTACAGAAAGGCAGAGGCAGAGAGAGAGAGAGAGAGAGAGAGAGGTCTTCCATCCGCTGGTTCACTCCCCAGATGGCTGCAACAGCCGGAGCTGTGCTGATCCAAAGTCAGGAGCCAGGAGCTACTTCCAGGTCTCCCACAAGGATGCAAGGGCCCAAGGACTCATGCCATCTTCTACAGCTTTCCCAGGCCATAACAGAGAGCTGGATCAGAAGTGGAGCAGCCAAATTCAGAGCATGGATTTTATCAGAGGAGGAGAGAGGAAACTGCCTGGGAACAGGCTGTGATTGGTTAGGGCATAGACCACCCTTGACCTGATTGGCTGCCTTGGCTATTTAAGCTGCTGTACCAACTGAAATAAACAAGTCTGCAGACTGCTCCCCTCTGGCCTGCTTTCACCCGGATCCTGAGGTCTGTGTGGTGACTCCACGCCTCTTGCCCCCACCATATTCCTTCTCTCAGGACGAATCCAGAGCAACAGGTAACAAAAGGGACTTTCATTCCAAATAAATATGGATATATTCCAAAACATTTGAGGCTATGGACAGCGCCGTGGCTCACTTGGCTAATCCTCCGCCTGCAGCGCTGGCACCCCGGGGTTGTAGTCCCGGTTGGGGTGCCGGATTCTGTCCTGGTTGCTTCTATTCCAGTCCAGCTCTCTGATGTGGCCTGGGAGGGCAGCAGAGGATGGCCCAAGCGCTTGGGTCCTTGCACCCACATAGGATACCGGGAGGAAGCACCCGGCTCCTGGCTTCGGATTGGCGCAGCGCCGCCATAGCGACCATTAGGGGAGTGAACCAATGGAAGGAAGACCTTTCTCTCTGTCTCTCTCTCTGTCTATAACTCTACCTGTCAAATAAAAAAAAATTTTTTTTAAATAAAAAAACATTTGAGGCTAGACAGTGGGAGTGGATTCTCAAGTATTTGTTATTTATAATTTGTTCTTTTTTGTTTGAAACTTTTGTAATTCTCTTCACACACACACAAAAAAAGCACTGATCGAAGATGCTGAGAAAATGATTTCTAATGTCAGTTCTACACCTGCTATGAAATGTGGTCTTGGGTGAGTTGCTTAGCCCTTTGTCCATATTTCCTCAATATAACCCTATCAAGCTTCATTGATTTGTAGTGGAAAACAATTAATAAAAGCCTTAGCAGAAGAGCCAATATTTTCAAATACTGTGCCAATTCTGAAGAGACAGAGGGTATATTAATAGTTCTTATAGCAGAGTTCACATTGCGCTAATAGCTAGTGATCCTGAGCATCTTTTCATATGTCTGTTGGCTATCTATATTCCATCCTTTAAAAAACACCTATTAAATCCTTAGCCCATTTCTTAACTGGATTTCTTATTTTGTTGCTGTTGAGTTTCATTAGCTCCTTATATATCTTAAATATGAATTCTTTATCAGATGTACAATTTGCAAATATTTTCTCCCATTGTTTTCAGTTGTCTCTCTGTTGAGTGTTTCCTTTGCTATGCAGTTGGCTATTATCTAAAAATTAAAAAGAAAATGCTGGTGAGGATGTGGGAGGAAAGGTACCCTAATATACAATTGGTGGGAATGTAAACGAGAACCACCATTTTGGAAGACAGTATGGTGATTCCTTAGAAATCTGAAAATAAATCTACCATGTGGACCAGCCATTTCACTCCTGGGAATTTATGCAGAGGAAATGAAATCAACATATGAAAAAAGTTATCTGCATCCCCATGTATATAGTAGCTCAAATAACAATAGCTAAGATATGGAATCAATCCAGATGTTGATCAACTGATGACTGGATAATGAAATTGTGATATATTTACATGATGGAATACTACTCAGCTACAAAAAGGAATGCAATCCTGTCTTTCACAACAAAATGGATGCACATGGATATCATTATGCTTAAGGAAATAAGCTATTCCCAAAAAAACAAATGTGTTTTCCCTGAATTGTGGTAACTAAATATATTGTACAAAAAATGCAAATGTACATAGGGAAAAAAAGTCCTCATAATCTCAGATGGGAGGGAGCCTACTTTCTAAGGCAACAGGCACAACTTAACCAAAGTGGCAAACACTTAGATCACACACATGCATGTCCACACACACACACACACACCACAATCACAAAATAAAGGCCTGTGATCCCATCGTTCCTTGAAGGAACACACTAGTTAAGTTGAAATTCCTCTATTTTCTCTTATTTTTTTCTTTTCCAAGAAGTCTTTGCTTATGCCAATATCTTACAGTTTCCCAAATGTTCTGTAGTAATTTGATGGTATACGGTCATAGATTTGGGTCCTTGAGCCATTTTGAGTAGATTTTTGTGTAAAGTGTAAGGTAGGAGTCTAGGTTCATTCTTATATATGTGGAGATCCAGTTTTTCCAATACCATTTGTTGAAGAAACTATCCTTTCTCCAGGTATTGATTGTACCTCCTTTTATCAAAGATATTTTCTATTTGTTTTGTCAAATGGGTTTTCTTAATACAAGAGTCCTGACTGTGACACTGACCTAAATTAAAAATAGGTTGCTGACAAGTAAACAGGAATGAGATCATGACCTCTCAGTTGATTGAATAGTAATACTGATGGTGTCAAGTCAGTAGCTTCATTCTCTCATGACCCTATGACTTGATGCTGCCAGAGTATTCCACTATGAAATAGAAATTAGAAGAGCAGACACAAAATTTACATGGGACTGGTCACATCCCAGTTCTTAAAATGGATGTAGTCCCTAACTTTTGAAATCAAGACTAGTTCAGGGATAGGTATCAGCTAGGCTAGTCAGAACATAGCTCTGACTTCAGCAATTGTTTTCAGGGAATAAAAGTGACATTCACTGCTGTGGTCCAATAAAGCTTATGGAGAGGGATGCAAAGCACTCTTTTCCCCTCTTGTTGTGCATGGGGCTAGTTCCTGATAGCCATCTTAACAAGAAGGGACCATATTCAGGATAAAGTCATTATGTCAAGAGCATCAAAATGATAAAATAGTGGAAAAAGTATATTTTTAAAAACAAATTAATTTTATTTACTTGAAGGACAGAGAGACAGAGAGATTTAAACAGAGATACAGAGAGATCTTCCATATGCTGGTTCACCCTCTAAATGCCTACAAAAGTCAGGACTGGACTAGACATAAGATGGGAGCCAGAAATTCAATGCAGGTCTCCCATGTGGGTGGCAGGCACTCAACTATTTGAGCCATCACCTGCTGCCTCTTACGGTGTGCATTAGTAGGACTCTGGAATGGAAATGGAGCCAGGACTCTTACCTGGATGCTGTAATATAAAATATAAGTGTCACAAGTTGTAGCCTAATAACTATGCCAAACACTTGCCCTTGACAAGTATCTTTTTATACTGCAGAATAACTAAACCAACCCTCTCTTTAGCTTACTTCCCTTGCTGGAATTTTCAGTTAATTAATAAATTTTCTTTATTGTTCAATCCAGTTTACTTGGCATTTTATCACTTAGAACTCAAAGAATTTTATTGTATAAATGGCTATGTTTTCATGCTTAATATGGAACAGCCATGTTGCAAATGTGGACTGTTGATTTTCAGTGAGCACAAGAGAGAATTAATGGAGATCAGTGAATCAATTATGCCTACAATGATAGTGTAAAAATAGGGCGCACATTCTTCAACACTCCTTCTACTATGAGGTGGAGTCTGTATTATTAATTTGACTCTCGTGGGCTTTTGGTTGTCATGAATAACAGAGAATAGCAGAAGTGATGCTTTGTGACCACTTAGACAAGGTCATCAATGAGTATACAGGTTCTGTCTGATGATTACATTGAAACTTAGCTGTCTGCATTCCATCTTTTGATAGTATCCCTCTAGAAACCCAGATAATGTGCAGAAAGAAGCCCAAGCTACATGGAGCATTCTGTGTAAAGGCTCAGCATATCCTTTGAGGCAAGTTAGCAGGAGCACCAGAATGAGAATGC